TATAATAATAATAAAAAATATTATTCTCTAATTATTAGAGAATAATTATTTTTTTTAGATTTACGGAATCTCAGCCTTCATAGCGGGGCTGAACCCGTATTACACCAAGCACTGTAGCTAATATTAGCTGGTATCTCGCCGGTGGACATAAATACAGTAAAGTAATATTCTAATCACAATATATACACAATAATATGTCCATCTTACTTGTGAAATGTTGTCTGTGGAGCCCTGACATCAATAGTCCATCGATCCGAACAACAATATCCCTCAGTGCTGAGGCATCTTCTGCTGTTTTGATTGAGCAAAGTAGGAGGGTATACCGCTCCAAGATGGCCGCCGGATTTCCTGCGGCCAATGCGGGGTCTACTCTTATATTATGTCCTTATATTATGTCTATGGCTGCTAGCACTTAGCATTCGTCAGCTACTCTTAGGCGGAAGTGAGATCTGTGTGCGACATTAATCATCACCCGGCTGGAACGTGGTGCGCTAAATAGTGAAACATAATTTAACGAAGATTAATTGTTATAGTCCTAATTATGACCCAGCGAGTCACAAAACTTAACTGAAAGATTTAAAGTCCAAGCACCCAGGGCTCTTTATTTTCCTGAAATGTGTGGAACTCTACGAATGGTTTATTACAGCCATGCTTAGCATCAACATCTAACGAAATTACACGTTGCGTAGTTGATTTACTCCAAACAAGAAGATGGAAACTTGCCTAATGTACGTTTTCTTTTCTTTGTTTTATTATTTTGGCAATATTTTTAAGTTTGCTCAAAATGTACAGGACCGTGGATGAAAATAGCTAACGTTAACTGGAACGTTGTTGCGTCGGGCGTGACGTCAAGCCCAGCTGGATTCTTATGGTGCCCAAAGTCGCACCATAAGAATCCAAACTGGTTTTGGTATGTGGATATTTTTTTTTTTTTTTATCAAAGATGACTTGATTTTTGCTTAAAAATTGAAGATAATACATTTAAATTCATACAATCCTTTTTTGTGGACAAAAATTAACTTTTTTTATATAACGAATAATCAATCTTATTAAGTGACTGGCAAAGAGTATGAGAAAATGAACCCCTTTTGCATGCTTTAATATTTAATTGTTGTTATCAGAAATCAGAAATAACAAAAGAAAAAAATTGATAGAACAAGAACTTATCATAATAAATTGAAAATGTAAATGCAAATTTATTTATTTATTTTTAATTCTCTGAAGTCATGCTGAGAAATACATATTTTATTCTGTCCAGAGTTTTATTTGGTCTAGTTTGATTTTCTTTTGCTATTGAAATTAATAGAAACAAAATCTCCAATATAGAGAAATAAAAATATGTAATAAAGACCTCGAGGAAGACGTAATTTTGAAACCTTCTTATACTGTGACTGTAGGAGACGCTGTATTTTCTGTACATCTCAAAGTTGTCACTATTTTTTCACCTCAAAGCAAACATAGATGGACAAGATGTTTAAGGAGTTAGAATAAGGGTAAATACTTTAAAAAGAGAAAATACTGAAAATACTCACTTCTACCACATAAGAACAGTTAGTGAACATAGTATTTCAGTGTAATAATTTGATCTTTAATATAAAAAAAAAGCACATAGGGCAATTCTTTGTTCCCTTATCTCATGCATCTTTATTTTTATTGCTTTTTCCTTCTTTATTTACATTTTTCTAAATCAGATTTCTCCTTCAGAGTTGTTCAGCTGTTTTATATGGTTGCAGCTTGGACTTCAGGAAAACTTGCCAACAATAAAACACATGGAAGCATTTTGTAAAGCAGACCTTCACAGGGAGTACTTTTTAAAAATGTTAATCCTGTGGTTGAAATCAATACCTCCTTGTGTGCTTATTGTCATTTGCTAGGAGAAAAACAAATCTAACTGGATGGCACCTTTAATCACAAAGCTCCCTCACTCTAACCCTTTGTTTTATTGTGTCCAGTACCGGCAGTATGTCATGCAGGACCTGTAACCCGCAGCAATTAAAGCTTAATGGGTGTTAGACTTTGTTTCATTACCCAAGCAGCTGAAATCTTCCTAATCCTTTGAACCCCCCTGGTTCAAACAACCTGGGTGACACCGGCATTAGCAGAGGTAATCCAGACTGTCTACAGTTTCACATGATACATTTTATCTTGAGAGAACTTATTTTGCATTGATGTGTAAAGAATCAGTAGAAAACCCAAATGAGTCTCCATGCAGCCAAGGCTTCTGGCTTACAGATGGGAAAAGCAGAAGCAGAGTGTCACTTTGAAAAGGTTTGTGTTTATTCAGATTATCATTACAGTAACACGTCCTGGATGACACCACTTCTAATCTGCCTCACTTGCTTTTGCTTCTCCTTTTTAAATCCCTGTCTGGTCGTTGGAAAGCAGACAGATGTTGGAGCCCTGGATAAGGGAAGGTCATTTTATTTATATAGCACATTTTTAACAACAAGGCAACTCTATGTGCTTCACATGAATTAGAGAAAACAACAAAATAAAAAAAAGCAAAAGAAAAACAAAAAGTACTCCATAATTTATAAACTAACAGGAGTTTCTCTGCATAAACTAATAGAAAAGAAAAGTAAAAAGTATAAAACTACATATTGGTTCCCCATGTTTAATAAGAATAAGTAGTTAGTAATTTATAGTATGTTCTGATAAAACTAGATGTTGGTTCTTCATGTTTGATTCTATACTTTCTAAGTTTGTTCCAGTTTTTTGAACTAACAGGAGTTTTTCTCTGATGTTAAAAGTTTAGTGTTAAATGTTGATGTAAGGTCATGAGTAGTTTCTCTAGATAAACTAATAGGAGTTTCTCTAGATTCTAAGTTTGTTCTAATTATATATAGTTCTTTTACAGCTGGAAACCATTGTCCAGGCCACATAAAGATGGCTACAAAGTCGGCCTTCTGTCACTTGAAGAACATTTCCAGGATTAAAGGACAAAATGTCCCAACATTCATAGTTGAGTTATTCTTTTTAGGAAGTCTTCACAGATATTCCTAAAAAGTCAAACCTCCAGCTGCAGCTGATCCAGAATGCTGCTGCTGGCCTTCTGACTAAAACTAGGAAAATAGAGCACATCACATAGTTTTGCATAGGAATAATTGTCCCAAAATGCTTTTGATTAATAATAATTGGAACCTCAATAATTCAATCTTTATTCCAACTTTTCTTTACTTTCAAATTAACTATTTTTCTCTGATTTTTTGTTTTCTTTATGTAAAGCACTTTGATTTGCAGTGTTGTTGAAATTAACTATACATATAAATTTGCCTTAATATTGCATGTGTAGTAGATCCAGCCTCGCACAATGCAAACACATGTATTACCAGTAGATGGCGCTACATATCCATCGTCTGAAATGTGGGTGGCCCAAATACACTTACAAGCAATAAAAAGCTTAAAAAAAGAAAACCAAACAAAACTTTTACAATATGAGATTGCAATTAAATCCACATGTTTTAATAAAATATTTTTTCACAGAGTCTGAATTAAAATAATATTTGTTAATAAGAGGGACGGAGGTCATACCCGGATATCCTTGTTAAAACATCAACATGGGAAATGGAGTTTCGCCATTTTCCCATTCTTCAATCCACGTTACGTCGGGGAACGTGACGTAGTTCAACACATCTAAAATGCGTTCCTTGATTGTTTATCGACGCTTGCGTCACGTAACCGCAAACTTACGTAATTTACGTACGTCCGAGTCCGTATTTGCTCCGTAGAGATTCCCCCTTCCTTCCTGGGCTGATTGAGGTAAACCTACGCGGTCGCATCATTATCGCTAATACCTGACGGAGTGGAAATAAACGGAAACATTTTACGTGCCTGACCGAAACCTGTGAGGTATGAGGCGGCCGCGGGGCGCGCGCAGCTGAAACCCGGAAGGGTTAAAGCGACCGAATTACCAGCAGGAGAGGAACTTAAGGTCTCCATGGCTGTGAAAAGTTAACGAAGAAACGACTGAGAAAACAGGAATTGTTCGTCCCTGTCCGACTCCAGGTAAGAATAAACGATACTTGAGAGGAGTTCAGGAAGTAAACGGCTGTGGAGGAGTATCGGTAATGTCGGCTAAATGACTGAAAAGAGTCTTTGTTTACAGTGTCCCCCCGGTGTCTTCGTCTCAGTAGGATTGGACACTTTATAGCAGCTCTCTGTAGCTGAGGTTAGTGGTTGTCTTACAGCTCTACAGTTTGTTCACTAATAAAATCAGTTGTGCCTGAAATAGTTTACAGCCCTGAACCAGAGGGACGAATCGGTCCACAAGTTCCTCCGAGCAAAATTGGACAACATTGTTATTATATGAATAAATGTATTATTATATAAATGATTAATGGGGCTTTGAAGCTTTAGTGCCGTTGATCTTCAGTATGTGTTTCTTTTTTGGGGTCAATGTCATAGAAGTGCATTTATTTACCTCTACATTTACTCTTCTTTACCTCACTTTCACTCTCACTGTAGTCATATTGAACAAATTAGAATGTTATTGGAAAAGTTCATGTATTACAGTGAAACACATTTTTATAAATTTATTACAAACAGATTGTTTAGAGGTTATTTTCAAGATTTAATTAATTCAAGTCCTGCGTGTTTATGGCTTTCAAAATTGATTACTGGTTTTTAACTTCAGCATTTCTTGATGTTTTGTGTAACATAAGGTTGATATTTCAATTTTAGCAGTTCATTTATTCACCTGGACATTTACTTTCTCTTTAAATGTCTATCCATGAGCTCGCCCTTTTGGTAATGGAGTCCACTTTTATTTATTTTTTGTTAATGTATATAGTAGTATGATAAATGAAAACAAATTCAATAATTTTCACTTACATAATTTATCATTTTTCTCTTTTTCTACCAGAAAATGGGTGATAAAAGTCTTCAGTCTGGTGATTTGGTCTCAACTAGCTCTTATTTTGAAGGACAGTTTTGTTTACAGAAATTTCATAATTAATTTTATTTGTTGTTTCTGGTTTGTTTATTTATTTTGCATATTTAAAAAGTCTTCCAGTTCCAGTGTTAAATGTTCATCAGAATTTAAAGTTTATTGATCTGTAAGAATATATTATTACTTGAAAATAGTCTCAAACAACAATATTATCGTTTCTGGGACAATTTGTCATCCAGCAAAATTTGGCCTATGTATTACAGTATGTATTTATATATGTATGTATTTTACTACTAAACGTGTGTTGGTATGTGTGGAAGCTCATGCATGTTGTGTTTTGTGTAACTCGGTTTGGTAGATAAGATCTGAATGACGTGGTGAAACTAAACAAAGTATCTTGATTTTTAAGAAAAATCTGAATTACTCATATTAATGCTTCAATAACAATTATTCAACATGCTGGATTTTGAAAAACTGCATTTCTATCAAATTTATAACTGTTTCTGTGAACAGTTGATATATGAATTTAATTGTATAGATGTAAACTGAAAGTTGATAATCCCGTTGTAAAATAAATAATAAATTAGGCTTGATTAGTTTTGCAGCGGATGTAAGGCGGGCGTTTTAATGTCTTTGCGCTGCTTGAATGGGGGCCTGCTGGGAAGATAAGGGGAAAAAGAGTCCTGGGTCACTCAGGATATTTGGGTGAAAAAATCTGCAATGTACCATGAAATCAGCTCACATCCTCGCTTCCCGTCCCTCTGAGAACCGACATGAAACCCGACCGCTCCCTCTGGCACCGGCGGTGTCAGCTGCTGCATCTCCGGCTCTTCCAGGGGGACAGGTGCTTCTCAGACAGGTGCATCCCTGTAACAAAGGGCTGCTTCACTTTGCTTCATTTTTTAAATTTTTTCCTTCCTGCCATGTTTAACGCCACAAACTGTGCAAGCAGCTGATTTAGTAATGGAAGTATTTTTGAATTCTGCTGATTGTGAGTGTGCTTGAGAATTTTCTTTCACCCAAATACTGTTGCATAAGTTGTGTCGTTTGTTAGAGGAATCGAAAGGATTTGCCGACAGCAATACTCATCTCGGCAGCCTCAGAGCTTTGCAACCTGTTCTTAGTGTCTTAGTTTTATTTATTTACTCTTCAGTCATTTTTTAACCATTTCTTACACTAGTCAATAAAGGCAAAAAAACCCCCCAAAAAAACACAAGACCAAACTCGTACAGAAATACTAGCTTGGTGAATCATAGACTGGAAAATGTGTATCTTCAGTTTGTTATCCATAAAGTATCATCAAAATCAAAGCAGAATAATGTTTTCTGTATATTTTTCTAAAATGTATCTCCAAGGAATCCCAACTGAGTCTGCAGACAAAATCATTAAAGAAAACATTGTATTCTTTCAGCAAATGATTCCCTCTAATTTAAGTAAAATAGTTTTTAACATTCATAATGACCTTAATTTTTTTAAAATGATCTATTAACTTGTAGCTACTTTAATTTTGAACCACTTTTGTATACAACTTAAAATGAGTTAATTATGTGCTCTGATCACAGTCAACACTGTTCTCAACTCTTTAGATTATTCATTGTATTTCTCCATAAGTAAGCTTGTTCTCTGGGATTCCCGGCAGACGTTTTAGGCCAGACAAACCAGTTTGAGTCGATGATTCAGCAGTTTGTATAGGCGATTCTCCTGCAGCACCTATTTATGCAAATGAGCAGCACTGGTTACTCATTTGTAGGCTACAAAGATTCATAGGAAAGCGTGTGGTTTGGTGAGTTCTTGTGATATGAATGTGGCCGTGCATTATGTGCTCGATTTGCTGTTGAGCGCCGCGTTTGTCGAACAAATGAGGCCAAGGAAGACACTTGAAGTGGGAGAGAGCGGACAGGAAAAGTTTGACGGCTTCTCTCAGTAATGTGCAGCGACACTTGAGCAGTGATGAGTGTCTGCACTGTCCTGCGTTTAACCCTTCGCTGCACCTCCCACCGCTGAGGCAGAGCCGGCCCAAAGCAGAAGCAAACTAAGCCGCTGCTCGTTTAATGAGCTGCAAAGTTGAAATAATGACATTAGGGATGCAAGTTATCGATTATAAAGTTGATTTATATTATTAATCATGCAGTAATTTTCTTAAAAAACAGATTTTTCTCGTTTTAAGACGGTTGACCATCTCTCCATATTATCTTTTATAATATGTTGAATTTAAAAAAGAAAAATTAAAATTTAACATTAGTTTGTGTCAGCTGTTTTCAATAGTGACTGGATAAACAGAAAATTGTGCTTTTCTCATGTTATTGAACTTTGACCTATATATAAAATATAACAAATCAGAAACCGCCTAAAGTACTAAGTAGAAAAATAAAAGATG